GAGGGTCAGAACACGGGACCTTCGTAAGTCGACAAGGGTCACGATCACATGTTATGCTGACCATATTCATTCAATCTTCTTGGCAGATGGTGTGGGTAGCATAAATTTGTACATCTCACCTACCAGGCTTCTGGGTGCTTGGAGTGTGGCTATCTTGGCTCCTCTCCTGTTTCTTAATGTTGCTTGAGTTTTTGTTGTGTTTTGTTTTTATTACATTAATGACATACACTATTTTGCTATCTATGTTGAATTATTTGAGCAAAGAAAAATAATTATGATTTATATTCCATTTAATAAAAAGCTTTTCCTTTATACTGTTGACATATACTCTAGGCAATGTAGATTGTTGTGTCTTTTTTATGCTTTTATTTTTACTAAATCTGTGGCATAGGCATCTTTGCCTATATGTGTTTAATTATTTGGAGCACAGAAAATTGATTTGTTTTGCATTCCTGTCAGTATGGGGATTCCCTTTATACTTTATTGAGTCTCTTTCCCAAACTTCTATTATGGTCGGGGCCCATGGAGAGCTGAGCTCTGCCATAAGAGGTAGGGTGAAACGCAGATGGAAGGCTGACTGTGAGAGACCCAGAAAGCTGGCCTGAACCACCAGAAGTTGCCTATTTCATTGTGTTTCCCTGCTGTTGTCCTGGAACTGAAAGTAAAACTTTAAAAAAGTTGCAATTTGGTCTCTGCTGTGGTAGGGGAAATAAGGAACTGTCCTTGTTTGGAAATGGGGGTGGGAGTGTGTGAGGAAGAGAGCAGCAACAGCCTGAGGAAGCTTGTGGGGAACCCAGCAGGGAGTGGCCCCAGGCAAAGGGGACATCACTGAGCTGGCTGTTTTTGCAAGCAGTTCAGACTTGTGGAACATGTAAGCATCACCCTGGAATTCTCAGAAATAGTTCAGAAGGTGAACTTGGAATTGTCCTGGACTTCCTGTCCTCAAGGAGGAGCGGAAGCTCAGAGCTGTTGTGATGCGGGGCTTCAAGTAAGCATGTTTTCATATTCTGGGACGCCTGTGATCTACCAGCTATCTCTGAAAATAGAGATGACTTAGTGGTGGCACCCACACATTTGGGATGACTCTTGTGGCCATCTCCCTATGACCCCACAACTCCAGCTGGTGAACAGGCCACCCAATTTGGAGATGTGGCTGCTCTTGCCAGTTTTCAGTTGGGTATTAACATTTCAGAGAGGTCCCTGGGTGGTGCAAATGACTTGTGCTCAAGGTTGGAGGGTGAATCCACCAAAAGTGCCATAAAAGAAAGGCCTAGCAATCGGCTTCTATAAAAATCACAGCCAAGAAAACCCCACGGAGCAGTTCTCTTCTGTAACACGTAGGTCAGCATGAGTTGTAATCAACTTGATGGCAATAGGTTTTATTAAGATCTCAAAGCTTGAAACAAGTCTCATCACCCCATG